TATATATATTAACCTTCATATCAACGATGGCAAAAATACAAAGAAATAAATAACTTGGATCTCGAAACATAAGCAGAAAATTATTTTGGAAGCAATTTTCTGCCTCAGTTTTCATAACAATTTAACTCAGAGAATATATAGGTATAACCATTCCAAAGAGCATTAAGAGTCATTGAGAAATTATGGTGCATAATTCATGCATTTTGATTATTAGATGACATGCAAAACTGTTGTGACTGTACAACTGTTGCTTAAAACATGCAGCAGTGGCCCTTTTCCATGAGATACCTTGGAGTGCAGCTATAAAGTGCTGTGCTAAAACTGCACTCTGCCAGGTGAGTTTATTCCATCCTCCATCAGTTTTCTTACAGATTTTTGCCTCCTGATCTCTGGCAAGCCTTTGCTTTCAGTTCTAGGATCTGTGGCTGTTTCCTGCACACCCTGTATATGCTGAGCATCAATCTCTCCTAGTGTTCTGCCTTTTTCCCCATTCCCGGTTCTCTCTCCGGCCACATTTGTGACACTAATCTCAGGAATGACAAGGATGCCCAATTCAGTAGTATCATTATTGTTGTCAGGTTGCTCTAGAATTGAAGATGATAAGACAAAATGATGGCTGAAAACAAAACAAAATAAAAATGCAAAACAAGAAAAACAAAAGATCCAAAACAAAAACTGGACAACTGAATGTTACAAATCAAGTCAAATATTTGCACTGCAGAAATTTCCATAATTTACAATACTGATGGCACTGGAGACAATAAGTTCATATTGTTTTAAATGACAATGAAGAAACTCACAAAGCATCAATACATGTTCTGCATTTTTTCACACACATATTTGACATGGACTATGAAACAGAAATTTTTTATAAATCAAACGGGATTTCTATTGTTTTAAGATAATAGTATGACCACTTGAACCTATTTATAAAGCCTTGGGCAAATATTCAAGGATATACAGCCAAAACTCTAGCTTTTGTCAACAAAAGAAACCAAGGCACTTAGGAATTCCTTTTTGTACACTTAAAATTCTATTTTTTATTAGATTACATTAAAGCTGACTTCATAAATCACAATATTGGAAAAATGCTCATTCACTTATGATATCATGGTTAATAACACTACAGGTATAGTTTTTGTCTCACATACCAATCATCTTTTATATTAGTAAATATTAATGCAGCTGTGATATAACATTCCACAAATTTAGGCCATCTTGTAACAGTTCATTACTAAGCTGGAAAAAAGTAAAAATGGATTTGGAAAAACAAATTGTGTGTTGGTCCTTTATTCTTGAAAATGGCCATTGCAATCAAAACAAAGAAATGAACCTCCTAACTAGTTTATACTTGTAGACATTTTATTCTTTTTGTCTTAAATCACAAAGGCATGATTTTATTTAAAGTAGTCAAGGAAATATCTCTAAGAAATAGAAAAAAAAGTAGCCTATGTCTACCATGGGCCAGTAATGAAAATTAAAGTTCAAAACAACATAAAACTATGTAAAACATTTTATACTCTTAAAAAAAATGTAGACCACAAATCTGCTTGAGAGACATTACATATTACTTTCAAATGCTTTTCATGATAAGATCATAATGTTCCCACTGATGGTGCTAAAGCATGTGAAACAGTAACAGGTAGTAAAAAAATGGAGGCCAGAGCCACATATTCCTAAACTTTGGATCCTGACCTTTATGGCGCGTTGGTATCAGCTGGGCATCTTGAAGAACTACTGATGCCTGGCTCTCACATGAGACATTCTTATTTAATTAGTATAAGCTATGATCTGGGCACTGGGATTTTTAAAAGCTTCCAGGTAACTAATGTGCAGCAAAGTTTGGAAACCACAGTTCTATTCTGATCTTTCACATTTTGAAAACTTAAAAGTTATTATGGATGCACTGGGTAGCCCATACCCAGCACAATATGCACTTCTGGAGGGCCTCAAACCTTCATGTTGCCCTGGGCTGGCTAGCCAGTGTGCTGGTATAATTTCCCATTTACCTAGTGGCTCAGAAAAATTTGACTGAAGGTTCTCTAAATGAAATTTTTATTTCCTGAACAGACCAAAGCATGTTAGTAAGGTAGCATCACACTGCAGCTTCTGGGTGTCCCTACAACACAGGTTTAATGAGAATAGAAAGTTCCAACCAAGCCTATCCCCCATTACTAACAGCTGTGTTCAAGTCAGGGCAAGTAAAATCTTAGTGAGGTAAATGCCAGAGGACCCTACAACTGAGAGTAAAATCACAACGACACTGTTGGGAGACAGCCAAGACTTGTCTATTTACACTGTAGAAGCAGTTTCACAGATCTATTAAAGGGACCATCAATCCAAAAAATCATAAACTATGGAAATTATCCAGACATAACAAAGCCAATACATATTAACACAACAAAATTTTTAAAAATAAGCATAGGTGGCCTAACAGAATAGAAAATACTACTATTTGCCTCGAATGGCACTAAATCATTTTTTGAGAGTGTTCACATAATATTATTCAATTATATCCTCAAAACAATGTGTTCTAGTGAGCCTCTGAAGTAGGCAATTTACTTCAAACTCCCATTTGCAGACAAGAAAACTGAAGTTCAGAAAGAGCCACAAAACTATTCGGTGGGGAGCTAAACAGCAAAATCTTTTGACCTCAAATACTATAAATTCTTACTCTTCAATTCATTAAAATCAAATCGAGTTAAATGTTCTCTGACATCCTTCAATTAAGTTTAACTTATTTGCTAGATTCCTAGTCATTTCATAGAAAGCAACTGTGGTGAAAATTTAGAATTCTGCAAGCAAAACTATAAAATGACAAGAATAATAATATAAAGCAGCACTAGGCACCTGGATTGCTAATCACATTTCCTGTGATAGTGGTGAAGTTCTGCAGCCCAAGAAGCATAATATTAAAAATTTTTAAACATGAAATTAGGTGGCAAGAAGAAAACATAAAACATATGATTTTTCACAAGCACAAATCTTTAATTAATATATGCATATTATCTGGTAAAAATGGAAAAATTTTAACTGCTTAGTAAAGTAAATTCATAAAAAGAAAAGCAGAAAACTGTAAAGAGCCAGAAACAACAGAAATATAATTCTCAGGAAAATTACAGAATAAAGATAATTACACAATTCCAATAAACATTTGTTACATGATATTGCTCTCCATTATTTTTCTAAGATCTTCTACAAAGCTTTGTGACCCAATCTCCCTACATACACCTTCTTACTGGTCTCACTGTTCCCTAAGCCTGGAATGCTCCTCACTTGACCATCCCATCAATATTCCCCATATTTCATATACCCTTCTCCCTACTTCTTAGCACTTTATCACTCTCTAACCTATAATTATTTATCTTGTCTACTAGATGTAAGTTCTATGAGGGCAAGGATTTTTGCCTGGTCAGTGCTGTATATACTCAGCACCCGGGAAAGTAGTTTGCATATAGTAGGTGCCCAATAAATATTTGTTTGATGAACTAAAAAAATTTCCTGTTATAAGGTAAAATTATTAGAATAAATAAAACATGCAGAAGACATGAGAAAAGTAGGCTAGGAATGTGTTACTTAAATTTGGAAAAGGAAAAATAATATATAGCTGATATTAGTAAGAATTTTTTAGCTGACAGAGAAAGGCAAAGGCTCTTTGCTTTGGAAAAGTGAAGTCGCCATCTCTAAATGTAAGTTTAGTAAAATACACAGATAATAGGGGGGTGAGGGCATGTGCTGGGGGGTGGGAGGTGGTGATGGATGGGGAGAGGTCAATGGGGAGAAAGGAGACATATGTAATACTATATGTAAATCTTTAAACAAAAACAAAACAAACAAAAAACCTGGAGGGGAAAAAAAAGATTTTTAAAAATCTATAGTTCATTTATTATGTCATCCATAGGATAACATACATACCTAAAAAGAGGCAGTTAATCCTTTCTTTAAGAAAATTATAGATATGTTTTAAGGGAATATAAATGCATAAGAAAACAGAATCTGTTTAAAAGCCCAGAACTTAAAAATCTATGCAAAAGGTGTCATGATTGTTCTATAACTATAAAAGCAATACTTACATTTGACTTCAAATAATTCGAAAAGTTCAAAAAAGGTCCAAAGAGAAACTTCTCAGAGAATATTTTATTTGTATACTCTCTATAAATAGGTAACCTTCTCTCCATATTCAGAAATGAGGAGAGTTAAAGAATACTTTTAGTGGACATTTCCAAATTGGATCTCAAAGGCACTCAAATAATTTCTCCCTACAAAATTTCTTCTGGCTTTGAGGGGGGGAAAGGTGAAACAAATTGCAAACATTATTAAAACTGATCACGAAAAGCTGTGATTTCTCCTGTGTAATGTTATAATCCCAAATATCAACTTCATTATATAACTCATGAAACTCTTTATCCCAACTTTAGCCTTTATATTTTAAAGGCTTCCCTATTTACTAAAAGTAATCATTTAAATTAAGGAACAATATATTTCTTC